ATAGAGGTGGCGAGTGGGTGGTACTGTTATAATGGTGGCGGGTGGTGTGTAGTGGTGGTAGGTGGGTGGCGAGTGGTGGTGGCAGGTGGTGGTGGGGATGGGTGGTGGTGGCAGTGGCGGAAGACGGTAGTGGAAAATGGTGCGGGTGGTGACTAGTGTTGGGTGGTAAAAAAAAAAAAAACTGAAAACTCAAAATGGAAACACATTTTTTGTGTTTTCATTTTTTGGCCAAATTTATAAACTGAAATCACTGATTTATAAATCAAAAATTTTACCAAACAAGTTTTTATTTGAGTTTTATAAATTTTTGTAAATATAAATAGAAAACTGAAAACGTAAGTGTTACCAAACAGCACCTAATCAATTCTTTGTTTCCTCTTCATTTTTCACCTTTGATAATTTTTTCCTTTCAACTAAAAAATGTTTTTTCCTTTTACCAATATTTTCCCTTTTCAGATCGTTTTCTTTCAACGGTTTTGCTCTGGTTTGCTGCCAATGCCGTTAGATTTGAAATTATAATTTTTCTGATTAGATAGAGGCTATCATGAATGATTTTATTCAGCTGAAACCTCAATCTAATGTTTACGAGGCTGAAACCATGGTTGAAGGTTAGAAGCTCTATTTGAGGTTTTCTTTCAGGATATTTATATATGACTCAGGATTTGATGTTGTTTACTTCGTAATTTTTGTGCTTCTTTATGTTCAATCATATATCAGGAACACTGGATGGATTCTCATTTGATTCTGATGATGACGCTGACAAGATGCCTAAAATCGTCACTAATCAGACTGATCAAAATGAGGGCAATGGAGAGCAATCCAACACAAAAACTAAAACAAAAGCTGAAAAAACATCAGTATGCTTCCTAACCTTTCTCAGTTCATTATGTATCTCAGTGAATGACAAGATCGTATATTGATTGTGCGACATGTCGTAATAAAGAAATGCTAATTTATGAGATCATGGATGTAGGGGGTCGTGCGAAAAAGGAGTGGTAAAGCTGCATGAGGAAAGCCACCCAAGAAAGTAAGAAAGAAAACCCAAGCTCCGAAGAACAGCAAGACTAAGAAATGAGAGATGCTACTGAATGTGATAAATTGTGGTGTGTGGGCCGACATCAATTCTCATTGGTGAAGGAAGAAGTATGGTAACAACAATTTGTATTCCATAATTTGTATTTTTTTAACCTTTAATTTTGACATTTGTTGAATTTGAAAAAGAGCAACAAGAAATTGTTCAGCATGCCCTCTTTTTCTGGAGGGTTGTTAAATTATACATGAATTGCAAATCAGGTTAAAGTCTGGACTTGAGAAACAAATTACACTGTTAAATTGAATGGTGTGGTGCCTAACTATGTAAATTACAATGAAAGTGAATAATGGTGAAAATCTGAACTTCTCTTTTCTCCTCTCTCTTCTCAGAGAATTGTATTTTAGAAGAACAAATTCAAGAAAAGTACTATAAGGATTATTGATATTGATGAAACGGGTAAAAGAACTTTTGAGGAAGAAACCATGTCTACAATCTCTCCATGACCCTGTTGTTGTTCTTGGTATATTGGTGGACTCTGTTGTTCTTGGTATATTGGTGGAGCTGGTATTGTGTCATTTGGTCTATTCGTCCTGCATGAACAAGAAAGTTACATTTTTATGTATTAAGAAAAATAGTTAATTCACTTCTATTTCCTAAACTATTATCATTTTTTCTATTGCTTCCCTTAACTATTAATTTTATCTATTTAGTCCTTAAAATTTTATTTTGATGATTGTACAAATTAGTAATTGTTGAAACCTAATTTGATGGTAAAAAACGTCATTCTAAAATTTAAACAATTTAGCCATACAACCAAGCTTTAATTTTTCTTTTTCTTTGAATCAACTACTCCCCACAACCAATTTTCTTGTTTTCCTTGTTCTAATAATTGTTCATAACCTCTAAGATTGTAGGCCTATCTAGAAGCTTCCCATTATTTTTATTCTAGGTTTTTTTTTTTTGGTTTTTGTTTATCACAATTTTTTTGTTAGCTCCAGCATCTACAGAAAAATTTCTGTACTTGCACTAACTTGTAGGAATTAAAGTCAATTTATTCCATTGTTAGTTTATTTTATATTGTGAGCATGTGGTTGTGATTTATTCCATTTTCTTTTTTCTTTCTATCACTATTCAGCCTTGGGAGGAAAGATTGAAGAGTGCACATGAGCAAGGAACACTTGTCCACCTTTCAAATTTGGATCTAGAATATACTTCAGGAGAAGTGGAGGTAATGTCCATATTATTTGGCAAGATCAATATATTGTGCATGACTCCTGTGTCAGTTTTCTTTCGCAATTTTTATTGCACATCTAGATTTCTACAATGGTTCAATCTAGGGTGGGTGAATTTATCATCATTATTATTGTAATCATATAGTAGGTGTTCTTTTGAAATTATGGAGAATATTCTTTTGGAGAAAAGTACTTTTAGTTTCACATTTTTGGTCTAGACATGGTCAACTTCCACAGCTATGTCATCAACAACTCATTTCACAAGGCCTCTAGTGGGATGAACAAGTAGCAACAATAAAGGCATAGAAAGACGTTTTTTGTTTTTAAATTCTTTCCCTTGATTCCTTGTTTGGCTAATGTGAATAAGATTCATTTACCATAAGTTAACATCTTGACAGCTCTTGATTCTTTGGCAAATCTGGATATATTTTGTTTTTCATTTCATTCTTTTTGTCTATTTATTTTTTCCTCAACGGTAGTGCTAATATCTTTCCTATTTATACTGCACATTATTATTATTTTATTTTATTTTGATAAGTTATACTGCACATTATTTTAGTACCTAGGTGATGTGAGATTTGGTTTCATAGGTACTAGAGAAGGATGTAAGCTCATGTATACAACTTAGGAATGTGGGATATCAGGGTATTACATTCAACCCCAATAGGAATACACGTCCTCACGTAGTCTATGGTTCCCACCATGCTGCTGCCATTGTCCATAGGAAAACTGTGCTAAGGATGCATAGTATGTTTGAGCATAGCCCATACCAATTTTTCTTGGTATACCTATTTAACTTGTTACTCTGGAGTCTTAGGGGTCACAGAAGTATTTAATCAATAAAAGAGTTCCACTGTTATTTCCTACATTAAATTTTCTTACATTCCTTGATGAATTGAAAGTTTTAACACATGTTCATCACCTAAACTTGGTAATATTCTAACTTTCCCATTGAACATGTGTGTCTAAGTGGTGTTATCTTTTCTCTATGTAGGCATGTATAGAATTTTATCTGGCTTGTTGCCTTATTGTTTTAACAAAGTCATGCATTGTCATTTCATGAAATTCAAACTACATAAGCTGATTAAACTGACTGATCCTATTTAGATTTACTAGCGGTATGCAATTTAAACAAATAAGAATAAAAGAAGATGATAATAAAATTAATATTATAATATATATTTAGTTTAATATGGTTATATTTTTTAGTTTTCTTCATAATTGTCGCATCTACAGGTGGTTGATGCATGGGGAGCAGTTGCTATATTGATAAACAATGCAGGTTCTTGAATGTTCCACGTCCTCTTCCATCATTAACAGTTTCAAATATAGTCCACTAACTGATCAACAATGGTTTCAGGTATTACTAGAGATGGTTTATTGATGAGAATGAAGACTGCTCAATGCAAGGAGGTCATTGATCTAAATCTCACTGGTGTATACCTATGCACACAGGCGTGTAGATTTTAAGCTCAGTTTTGGCAGTCATAGTTTTCCTCTTAGTTGGATCTAAGCAGCATTTTTACTACTCTTTGTAGGCTGCAGCCAAAATTATGATGAAAAAGAAAAAGATATTCCTGTCTCAGAGGCTCAATTTTATTTATATTAAAACTGTATTTGCCAGACAATTACACTTTTTTTCCCACCTGCAGGGGGGTGGGTAGGAATTTTAGTGTCAACCTATTTTTGATGCATTTCCACTTGAAAGTTTGTTTCTCAAATTTGCATCAGAAATAGTTTTGGAAAAAAAAAATTCAATTCTCTCCTCATTTCATGCTCTTTCATAATGCATCACAAGTTGCTTACAATTGAGAAACAAATTGATATTTTGAGAAACAATTGAGAAAAAATATATATTTTGGTGAATGCTTGGCAGATGATAGCACAAGATGTGTCAACAATGTTGAGATGTGAACAGAGGACCATCATCTTCCTTATAGAACCCGAGAATTTTTGTTTCTTAGTGGATGCTTTCATAGTACTTGTATGTATAATTGGTATGTATAATTAGTTTGAATTTTGGGCCGATTTGTTTTGTAATAATTTTTAACTTACCACTAGGCACTAGTTTAACTTTATTTCATCTTAGAATTGAAATATTTTTGCATATTCAGAAGCATGAATTGATCTAGTATTATGTTTACCTAAATTTAGTCAATATATTGTATATTTTTCATCTTTATAAAAGGTATTTTTTTTAAAAGTTAAATCTCACAGAATTAGCACAATTTTTTATTTTTATTTTTAAAAAAATGAAGCTATAACGGCGTTTTTAAACGTCACTATATAATACCAATGGTTATATTTTTAAAATAGGAAAGATCTATCACGGTGTTTTTAAAACGTCGCTAAATGTAGAGTGACGTCATTGTTTCATTATGCAGCACATTTAGCGGCGTTTTAAAAAACGCCGCCTATACTGATATAGTGACGCTTTTAAAGCATCATAAAGTTACAGCGACGGACGTATCTTCGGCGCTTGGTATTAAACGTCACAAAAACAATTAGCGGCATTTTTGATACTTATGGCGGCATTTTTTAAACGCCACTAAAAGCTCAATTTCCAGCAGTGAATGGAACATGGGGTAAAATTGATCCAAAAATAAATAGTTTAAGTGTAAATTTAATATTTTTTTAAAAATAAGAGTTAAATTGATTTTTAAATAGTAATTTGGAGGGTCAAAATAAAATTTTCTCAAAAACTAAATCAAACCAGAGCTTACTGACCAATCACAAAAGATCGGATATATGAATTTTTTTTTTTTTTTTGCAATTTTACTATGTCGAGAATTATATTCTCAATTAGATATATAGAGCTTAGAAGCCCCAATTGATCATTAATAGATCTTGGGCTCACTTTACAAGCCTACAAAGTTGGGCTGCACAGAATTTTTAAGCCCATTGTATTTATGGGCTAGAAAAAATGCTTGAGGTCTATCTTGGTCACGTCCACGTCAAATTCACCATGGGTGATTTATGCCTCTTCTTCACCCTTCTTTGCTAGCCGATTTTTAAGGCTGAGTTTACTAAAGGGTTTGTATCATTTGTTATCAAACTTAGGAGTCACATTGAGTAGGAATTGGATGGATGCGGCTTTGCAATTTGAGCCATGAAGTGGTGACCTATAAAATGGATTAAGACATTTATAAAGATGTCGAGTGCTAATAGTTGACTGAATTTATCAAAAGGGGAAGGGTTATTCTAAGTCGGTGTTGATAGAGTGATTATCGTAGATATCGGCTATAGAACGTGATTGTATATTACAATCCTACATCGAGTATGATAAACCTTAACTATGTGCATATAAGCATTTCAGACACTATTTCTTTTGTTTTCTTTTTTTTTGATCAGCGAAGAAAAGACACTTTATTGATGAAACAAAAACCTATTACATCAATAAAAGATAGAGGATGATGAGTGCAAAAAGTATCATAGCGAACCTAATCAATCTCAACTGGGTTGGCACCAATAAGATCACCCAATTATATGCTAGCACACCATCGCTAGTTGATGAGAAACCAACCACAAACACCAAAACAACAACACCCAAAAAACTAATCAAACTTGAAACAGACCAAACACCCCATAACTATCAAACAACAATAAACTAAGGAAATGAACAGACCAAAACCCAGTGTAATTACTCCTTTATCAGTAGCCTATCTTCACCAAAAAAACAGACCAAAACATACCAAAAACTCCTTTTATCAGTAGCCCACCTCAGCAGGAGCCTAGAAGCAAGAGCAGACTTTTCACCATCAGTTCAGTACCACAAATTAGATCAACACAGTAAGACAGACACCACAACATTTCAGCATTCCACACTATAGCAGTTCAGGTCCATATTGCCCAGACAGATCAACATTAGCCAACTGAAGTGAACTCCCAATAACAACATCAAACAAGCATCAGCTCAATCCAGAATCAACCCCATAACAACAAGAAGGCACATTCCATCCAATGGGCTAGCCACACCACAACATTGAAGGTAGAGTACAAACACAGCATAACCCGACCACAGATCACAAACACAGACCAGCACAACAGAGCATAACACAACAGCAGCATGATACACAGCATTCAGACTCCTGTAGCAGCATGCCTGCCACCTTTATGTAATCCTGGCACTTAAATCAACCTCTAAGTTGATTTTTAAAAGTAAATTCTACCTAAAGTCATAAGTAAAATTTAAATTAATGTTTTTACTAGTTAAGAGAATATTGTGACAACAAACAAAAGAATTCAGAGATAGGAACCTACGCCACTTGGGTGAGCCCTACCAAACTGACTCGTAAATTTTTCAATTTTTTTTTTGTTTGTTTTTGGGGAACAATTGCAGAGGTAGACTTTACTTGACTTAAAATTACACAACTCTAATGGTGTGTAATATTATTGATAACACTTTGCACCTAGAAAAGTACTACAATAATTAAATTTGTAGACCTGATTTGTTCTGAAATATCTCATACTATATTAAGTTTAATCAATGCCATAATCATTTTCATGTACTTTTGAAAGATGAATAACATTTTCAATCAAATCAGGACATTTGAGCTAATAGTGGTGTGTTTTGTGGAAAGTTAGAAAAGAGTTCGATATCCTTTGTGATGGTGATTTATTTCTTCCCCATTATGGTGGTTGCTTTTCTAAACTTTGTTGACTTTCAAGTTATTGTTGTGGGATAGTAGTTCTATTGGGTAAATTATAAATATACCATCTAAGATTTGCTTAAAATACAAATTAACTCTGTGATTTTAGAAATTACATCCCTCAATTGAAGCTTCTAATTTTATAAAAAATGACTCATTTTATTAGTAAATCATTAAGTCAATAACAAATTTTAATGATATCAAAAATATATTTTAATTAATAATTCAGGTAATTTTATTATTGTATAGGAGAACAATTAGAGATTTTCATTTTTTTCTAGCTAATTCTATTAATTAATTTTTTTATAAGGGGACATTTGTAATTTTTCAAACTATGGGGGCAATCCGTATTTTAAGTAAATCTTAAAGGGTATATTTATAATTTACCCTAGTCCATTTAATATTGTAAATGAGTAATTCTACTTACACTACACTTTCAACTCTTTACACCCTTTTAGTTTTATTTTTTTGTTAAATTTTTATTTTTATCTAAAATTACCAAAAAAACCTTCCATTCCCAAACTTTGAAAACCTTCTCATTACACCTTTATTTCATCACCACCCTCTTCTATACCTATAACGATTCCGGTTTAGACCGACCCGTTTATTGTTTTGGATCCAAGATTCCTTGTCTTATTTGGTTGTTCATATCCTTATTCGTCATATTCCTTGTTGAGTTTGATTATTGAAGTGTCTTGATCGCGTTTGAAACATGTTGGAGAGTTTGTGTTTTCAAAACTGTTGCTGTCCAGTTTTTGGCTTGTTCGCTCAAGTGAACTTTTCCAATACTTTTGCAGGTCTGTAAAACTGTTGGGAGTATGGGATTCCTTGCTCGAGTAGTATTTCTTATGTACCGCTCGAGTAGTCTTGGCTCGAGCGGTCCTTCCTGCGCTCGAGCGGTTTTTGGGAACTCATAATACTTTTGTAGGCCTGCACAAGTACTGAGAGGGTGGTGTTCTTCACTTGAGCAGTCTCTTTTGTTGTGTCTGGTCGCTCGAGCGACCATTCTTGCACTTGAACAGTCTGCGAGTATATCAGTTCGTAGACGTCACTTTTTTTTTATCACTTTTTCATCTCTTCCTCTCTCTAAACATTTCAAAATCTCAAATCTTCTCTCTCTCTCTCTCTAGAAAACATCTTTAAACCTCAAATACACCATGATCTACTAGTTTCTTAACCCTTGTCCTTTGGAGAAAAAGATGGAGCTCACCTAGAGCTTCTATTTGATCAGAACAAAGTTCGTTTTCGGCTTTGTTGAGTTTCAACTCTAATTCTTCTTGGTCCTTGTCTTTGAGGCAGGTATTTCTCCACACTTTAGTATGATTTTTAACTTGGTTATTTGTCCTTTTTAAAGAAATCTTGATACTTGAGGATTTTTGGAACAAAGCTAGGGTTTTGGTTTTAAATCAAAAAAGGGATTTTCAAAATGGGTTCTTGAATATGAATATGGGTTTGTTAATGTTGTTGGGTTGTGATAAAATGGTGGATTTTACCCTCGGAATTTATTTATAAAGAAAAAAGAATTTTTCCCTAATTGATTTCGTAAAGAGAAAATAAAATTGATGTTGGTTTTATGGAATTAGAAAGATGATGATGATGGTGATGGAGTTGGATATGTATTATCGCTCCCATTTCGAGATTTGAAAAGTATATCTTTATTGGAAATTATTTATCTGTTTAGAGATATCTATTTTGGGCCATCGGTGGAGGATATCTATGATTGTTGTAGAAATTGCATGAGAATTCAGTAAATTGCAATTAATTTCTCTTCCATTTGCATTGAGCATTGTTACATATTTAGCACATT